TGAAGGCTGCCATCTGCCTCTGTTTCATTGAAAGAACACTGTGACTCAAACCAGTTAACCAACCAGAGCCAGAGCTACTTAACACCAAGCTCCCTTGAGCCTGCAGATTCATGCTTGTGGCCTCCAAGAGACAACTGGCCCAGGCACTTCTAAAATATATCAGGTTAATGAGGGTAGCCTGCTAATGATACTTCATACTAGCCAGGGATGACAAGGAATTGGACCTGAGCTGTGGATTGAATTGTATTCCCCCAGAATTCATGTGTTGAGCCCTAACCCCCAGTGTAACAATCCTTGGAGATAGGACTTTTAAGAGTTAATTAAGGTCAAATGAGGTCACAAGGGTGGGTCCTAATGTAATAGGATTGGTGGCCTCACGCATACTCACTAAGGCCACATAAGGACACAGTGAGGTGTCAGTGTGCAAACCAGGAAGAGAGCCCCCACCAGAACCCCACCTGCAGCACTCTGATCTCAGACTTCCGGGCTTCTGAACTGTGCGAAAACAAATTCCTGTCATTTAAGCCACCTAGTCTAAGGTAGTCTGTGATGGCAGCCTGAGCAGACGAAGATGGGCTGGCACTGAATCTAGGTTGTTTCTTCTTTCCATGTGAAATTCCTCCACCTACAGTTCTAGGTGCTCAGATCTGATCTAACCTTGAAGGTCCAACCCACCTGCTCAGTGCAGCCTTCCTCACCTTAGTAAGGGTAATCTCTCCCTCCCATGGGATCCCCCAGTACCTTATCCTTCCCTCTCTGATGACCCGGGCTCCTTTGTATTATTGTCCTTTGTGGTGAGGCTTGACTTCTCTCCATGTCCCCTTCAGCATTTGGCACAGGAAGCATTCAGTAAATGGCCACTGAATTTAGAGCTCTCTTCTGGCTTCCTCAATTGGGGCACCCAGTTATATACTTCACTTGGTAGGAAGTGCAAAGATTGGAGCCAGAAGGCTTAGTGGGTGTCCAGGCATCAGGAGATGAAAGAATCAACATGGCCCACTTGTCTACTCCAGATTCCTTTTATTTTTTTTCCCAGATGTCTTTTTAGTGCCAGTATTCAGATCCTCCTGGCCCTCTTTCCAAGACTATAGCACACATTGGCAGCATGCAACTTTCCTTTTCCTAAAGCCCCTTCTTCCCAGAATTGTTGATAGTTCCAAAAAGAAAAGGAAGTGAGGGTCTCTCACCCACTTCCTCTCTTACCCTCTCCCTATTCCTTCTCCTAACCCCTTGCCAGTGAAGAAAAAAGGTAGAGAGTGCCAGGGCATACAGGTAAAAAAGCCCTTCCTCAAGGAACCGGGAAACAACCCCGCCGGCCCGTGCCTAAAAACCCAAAAGAAAAACCCCTCCAAAAGAAGAACAAAAAAGGGGCCAAAAAAGCCCTGAAAGGCCGGCCCAAGGTGAAAATACAGTCAAGTAGTTTCAGTGTAACTTGCCTTAAATTCAAAATGCAGGAATCTAATTCTCAGTGAGAAAGAGTATATTAAAGACCCAGAACTCTTGGTCGTGTTCTTTTTCTTTGAGTGCTACTGGCTCAGACAGTAGACAGAATGCCTGCAATGCAGGAGACATGGGTTCCATCCCTGAGTCGGGAAGATCTCCTGGAGAAGAGCTACCCACTCCCGTATTCTCGCCTGGAAAATTTCATGGGCAGAGGAGTCTGGCAAACTATAGTCCATGGGGTCACAAAGAGTCAGACACGACTGAGCGACTCACACTGACACAGGTATGTTCACTTTGTGAAAAATCAGGCTTTTAACTTAAAGGGGATATGCGTTATGCTTCATTGAAAAGTTTACTTAAAAAAAATTAAAACCCCAAACAACTGAACCGTGTGCTTAGGTCACACAACTAGTTGGTGACTAGAGTAAAGGCCAGAACTCAGATCTCCTAGCTCTGTAGTTAGTATGTATTTTAGAATCACACCCAGGAGCAAGAGGCAAGTTCAGTTTCAGTCGCTTTTGATCTGAAAGTGAAAGTGAAAGTCAAGTCTCTCAGTCGTGTCCAACTCTTTGCAACCCTGGTGGACTGTAGTCTACCGGACTCCTCCATCCATGGGATTTTCCAGGCAAGAATATTGGAGTGGGTTGCAATTTCCTTCACCAGGAGATCTTCCCGACCCAGGGATTGAACCTGGGTCTCCCACATTGCAGGCAGACGCTTTACCGTCTGAGCCACCAGGGAAGTCCTTTTTGATCTGAAGTTGCTAGAAATTCTCTTGGTTTCCTTGGAGTCCTAATCTGCATCTGAAAATGGACAAAATGTTTGAGAGGAGGTTTCTCATTACTACTGAGGCCACACCAGCTCCCTACCTGTTGTCTGATGACTATGGCCTCTAAAGAAATCTACAGGCTGGTCACATCCTTCCTTGGTTCAGTGGTTGGGAAAGGGGCTCTGTGAAAATACTCTTTATATTTGTGTTGACCTGTGTGCCCTGAAAGAAAGGGCAGGTGGCCTGGCCAGGCTCAAGGTGGTGCTACCTTAGGCCTTTGTCTGGACAAAGGTGACAGATCAGTTATTGATTTAGTTGCAACTCCAAGAGGAAGGTATATAGAGAGACATACTGACATCATATGGTAGGAGATTTCTCTTACATATGTTTTTTTTCATTCAGCAAGACGTTCATGTCCTGTGATGACTCCCTGTTAACTTTCTACTGATTTTGGACGGCTTAAGCCATCCCAAGTGACATTTGACTCCCCCCTAACCTGTCAGAAGCCTCTCAGGCAACTCTCTCCTCGTCCCCAAGGCCCCGAGCATTGAGGTCAGGCTGTTTGCATCCCCAGCCTTGCTTCCCTGCCCCTACAGGAAGTACCTAACCTAACTCAGCTGACTGTTCACCTGTGCGCATGACAGCAAACTGCCAGCCCCGTGCCTGAGCCCGCCGGCCTTACCCAGGAGTCGTCTCACCTGCTGAGCCTCAGTGCTGCGGGTTGGCCCCTTCCGGGCTTTCCTCCTGCTGTCTCCCCACAATGTCCGAAATGTGGTTTGAGGGACAGTGTTCACTAGATGTCCTCCTCCGGCTCACTGCCAAGCCAGGGGGGTAGCTTGCAGCACCCCTCACAGACCCCTGACTAATCTGGCTACGTCCTGTCTTGGGTGGTCCTGTGGGTAGAACTCCTTACCCCCAGGCACCCAAACTGCCTACCTCCACTTGTGTCTTCTGCAGTCAGGGGACTTAAAGATAGTGGCCTCTGACAGGGCATCTCACTACCCTGCTGGTGACCTCTGTAAACTCACTTTTTCAACAGGCAACTCATAGCCAGCTCTGTTCCCAGAGGGGACTGACCCCCAAGGGACTGACCCCCCCCCCAACCCAGTGAGGGTCAGGAGTCCAGGTGGAATAAGTTATGGTTAAGCTCTCATGTTCTGTGCTGGTTGACCAGGAACCAGGAATTGCCATCTTTGTGTTTCACATTGTGCCTGTGCCAGCCAGACTGTCCAGTTTAATATCTTTTCAATTAGGGAGTCTTCCAGTAATAGCATTTTAACAGTGAAGTTCCAAAGAAAAAACTTGTTCTTAATTTTTGTCCAAAGAGGGGGAAAGAGGCTTCTAATAATGGTATCATTATAAATTCTAAAGTGATGATCATTTGGCTTTGCGACAAAATTTGTAGCTAATAATTAAAATAAAGATTTAAGTAAATGCTTTATCAATAAAGTGGATGATAGGGGCACATTTTTCTCAGCCAGTGTCAGGGATGGCAGCCCATAGCCATGTGCTGAATTGTCACACTGCAAGTCTTTAAAATTCCTGCTGGATTTGAAGGTATTAACAAGTCCCTATCAACATTCTCTAAAGGTTTTTGATGTCATTTTAGCTATTGAACTAAAATATGTGAACTATTACTTTGTTGATTTTGTTCTTAAACCAAACTGCATTATCATCTGAGAGTGTGTTCTTAAAGTATTGTTAAAAGTACTTTGAAAACTTGTAAATCCCTATAATTTATGTTTCTCCTGCCTCTGCTGTTTCATTCTGTCCTTCTGGTTTTAATTTGAATGCAGTCCTGTCTGGGTGTGTACCTGTAAAATTGTGTTTTTCCAAGTACAATTTACAGTCTTGACCTTAGATTTTACAGTGTTCCTAACCTTCCATGAGCTTCCTCCTATACCAAGAAGTGGGGCTTTGGGTCACCCAGCTCTTTTATATTAGAACAGTCTAATCAAGGTTACTTGAAACAGATCTGATTTTAATGTTTCTTAGTTTATCATATAGGCCTAGGGAGTAAGTTCGGAGGGCTTCCCTGCAAGCCCATTAATTGCATTGCCCCATTTCTTAAAATGTACACAGTTGTAAACCTAGACTGCTTCAGGACAACAGTCTCGTTTATCTAAACAATTCTCCTTTTAGACTCAATGGCACTGATGGAAACACAGATAAGCTGTATGGATCGGAGGAAGGAACTTTTGGAGCTGTTTGGTTTTTTTTTTTTTTTTTTTGGCTGAAACTGTTCACATTCCCCTAACAAACCCCTTTTTTTCTTTCCAGGGGCTTGTCTGCATATGGAATAAACTGATCTGTGTTCAGTATATTCCATGAGCTAGGGTAGGGGAAGACTGCAGTGGGAGGGTATAGGAGAGGGTATCTTCTGAGTGAGCTCTTGGCAGGTTTTAAGGAATATGGCTATTTTGCTTTAAGGGGAAGAGTGAAGGGTGAGGCACTGTGTTAAAGTAGTGCGTATCCTAAATCCATTTCGTGGGCATCCTCTCTCCATGATGAATCCATGGTTCCTCGTGGATTATAAGAGTTTTTAAATGGATGTAGAACTTTTGGCATCTTTTCCTTAAGTTAGGAAATGAGATTTCTTTCTTTTCTGCTCCTTTCAAATATCACTTAAATTAAGCTCTGATAAGGAGTTAGGAGTATTTTTCTTTCCTCCTTACACTTCCTCAGCACGTCTTCCGTGATTCTTGCTGGCACTGCGGGCTGAGGAGGCAGGACACGGGGCAGGCCAGGGCTCTCTGGCAGCTGACCTGGGGTTCCTCCTCTGTCGCAGGTCATCGTGCAGTCCGGCCGCCACCCCACAGTTCTGCAGAAGCTCTGCCAGCTGCCCTTCCAGTATTTCAGTGACCCACGGCTGATCAAAGTGCTCTTCCCGTCACTTATCGCTGCTTGTTACAACAACCTTCAGAACAAGATCATTCTGGAGCAAGAGATGAGCTGTGTTCTACTGGCCACGTTTATTCAGGTACCTTCTGTATTTATGCCAAATTCTCTGACTGTGTGAAAGCTAATGAGACTGAAAAATAAAAATGAACCAGCTGTTTACCCTTGCCATCCACATTACCCCAAAATTTCACCTATTTATGTGCTTGACTGTCATGATAGTAAAACTGGGGTTTGAGTATTGTACATATTTCTATTTGGAGGATTTCAAGAAAAAGGTATTTTTCCAGTTAAGCCTGTACTAAGGAAATGTTTTTAAAAGACTTCTTTAAGGCTTTAACTGTTACTTCATCTTGCTTTTTGTCTGTTTATAGGGAATAGATAATAACTGCTGAAGAAAGATTAAAACTGCAATTTATTTGTAAATTTTTAAATAAATATTCATATGTATACACACACACACTGACTGTGTGTGCATAAGAAAAAAACATTTTGTTGCTTTCTCTCAAATCTAAAACTTTTAATTATGGCCTTATATTTTGCTGATCCAGTGAAATTCTATAGGACTCGAATCAGAATCAGTACTATAGCAAAGCAGTATTTCCACATCTAAATTAACCCAGTCAACTGACAAGAGAATCAGTTTGGTTATTCTGTAACATTTGCTAATAGCTAATCGTGTTATTTCTTTTCTGTCATTACACAATGACATTATTTGCTGAAAATCTTCCATTATTTTTTTCAAATGTTGCACCCTAAAGCCAATACGTGTTTGTTCCATGACACACATATGCCTAATAGACAGTGTTTTCTGTTCATAATAATAATGAAACAGAAAGCATAACTTTGTATTGTTATTGTTCCTTATTTTGGCTAATACACATGTATCACTTTTGAAAGGGCGTAACAGTGCCCAGCTGGTTGGGATGGCTGAAGAATCCCCCAAGCTTTCTTCACCTTAGAAGTGGTTTACATTTCTTAAACTATCCTCTACTAGATGATCAGCTAATAAACACACTAGATCAATTATGCTTAGAAATGTTTTGTTTTCAGCTTGTTTGTTTTTGAGTCTAGATTCCAGTTTCAAAAAAAAATTTCAAATATATTCAGATTTATAGGTAGGGTATATATATTCAAAAAATCTTATAGTTAATAATTAAAATCTTAATGAAGTTTTATATAACCATCATATCAACGTATAGGATTCTTCATATATTCTTACAGCCTTAGGATTAAACAGGAAATACGTTATAGAGAATTTTAAGACCATGATCTTAAATTTCATTCTTTCATTCAACAGGTAAATTTTTAGTGCCTCTGGTGTGCTGGGCACTGCTCCAGGCACTGGAAATACAGCAGCGAACAACACAGATACAGATTCCTGCCTTGAAATGTAGAGTCGGGGGAGTCAAACAAAAAACAAATAAATGAGCAAAATAAATAGCATGTCAGATTGTGTTAAATGCTGTGGAGAAAAGTAAGGCAAGAGAGGAAAGGAGGACAGGGACCTCCAGAGAGATGATATGCAGCTTTTTGTGGCCTGTGCAAAGAGGCCTCAACCAAGACAGTGATTATGGAGCAAAGACAGTTTTGTAGCTGTACCATCCTAGTCCCTTACATTTTTTTCAACTGCTTGGAAAACAATTTATAAAAATATAAATGGTACCAGAATCTAAAGTAAGGATCATATATAGTATTTTCATCTGGTGTTGATCTCAGAGTACTTCTAATTTGACTCTATTATAGTTAATACACAATTAAGTATAATTTAATATAAATCTAACACATTAACCATATATTTTAGCACAGATTTTATAAATAACCATGGAAATTTCTTATAATACTTATTTGGGATAGGATGTTAAAAACAAGTTTGGGTTTTTTCTATAAATTATTGTGCTCAAGAGAATGAAAGTACATTGGACTTTCATTTATATAATGGTTCTTCAAGATCCCCTTGTTTCTAGTGACTACTAGAAAATATTAAAAATAAGAGCTAGCAGTTTGTCCTAGGTTCCTGAAATTTCACATATTATAGATGACCTTTTTCATGTTCCACTGAAGAGTAAAATTGCTGGAGATTTAGCTACAGAATGGATGGACCTAAAGAATATTATACTATGTGAAAGAAGTCAGAGAAAGACAATTACCATATGATTTCACTTATATATGAAAGCTAAAAAGTGAAACAAACATAGCAAAACAGAAACAAACTCAGAAATACAGAGCACTGGTGGTTTGGAAAGTGGGATGGGGAGGTGGGCAAAATACGTGAAGGGAATTAAGAGGTACAGACTTTCAGCTATAAAATCAATGTCATAGGAATTTAACATACAGTGTAGGGAATACAGTCAATAATAAGATTGTATGGTGACAACTGATAACTAAACAGATCATAATGACCATTTCAAAATGTAGATGAATATGGAATCACTATGCTGCACACCTGAGACCAATATGATATTGTATGCCAATTATACTTCAATTAAAAAAACTTAGCTACAGAATACATAAGGGCTTTTATACTTGTGGGTTTTGTTTAATGTTAAAAGTCTGTCAATATTTTAAGACAGTATTTGGCTAAAGAATTCAGTTTGTTAGATATAAAACAAAGTTATACTTTCCACAGCAGGCAACAACCTGGCCATTGGTGATACTGAGATTTGAGTCATCACTATTTAATTTAAATATGAGAACCTGAATTACATAATGTCAGTTTCTTAAGCTTTTATATTTGGGCTCCAAAGTATTCATGGTAAAAATAGTTATCTCAGATTCAGAGGCATTTTTAAAGCCACTCTCAGCAAAGTTCTCCATGCATAGCATTGATATAAAAACACTTTTCTCGTTTCACACAGGATTTTGCACAGACTTCAGGTCAGGCAGATAACCAGTCTTATCAGCCCAAAGGTATGTCTCTGTTGAAATTAAATGTTATGTGTTTGTTAGCTGGACATTTCTCACTCCACCCTTTGCAACTGTTAGAGAAATCAATTTATTACATCACCTGAAATATTTGAAGTTCAGATACCAAGTATATTTCAGAGAATAAAGAAATTGATTTTGTCATCAAACATGAGTGTATCAGAATATACAGAGAAATCCATGGAAGTAAAAGAAAAGCATGAAACATCTTTATATAATTTATACTCACCTCATGCAAGTTATAATAAATGGTGAATAATTACTAAAGAGCTACCTACCTTGTAATAGAAGATGCAATCAGATCATTAATATAGGCCTACGTTACTCACATAAATGCTGAAATTACATACATTTAGTTCCCTACCCGTGTTCAGAATAAAATTGTCATTGATAGTAGCCCATATGTTCCCCTAAAATTCAAGCACTTGAATTTTTTATTGAAAATAAAAATTGTAAAATTGTTTTACATGAAGAAAGAGCACAGTTCAGGGGCCAAAAGATTTACAAAAAAAATTTTTTTTTCCTGTAGCATTTCTGCTGAGGTGAGTCCTGTGATCAGAATTGAGATGTAGAATTTTCAAGTGCATTTTTACTTTTTAAAATATTCTGCTACCCACACTGTTAAGAAGTACAAGTTGCTCTTTGTCTGACTGTCACATCAGCATCTCTAATTAATGAGACCTTCATCCAGATTTTCCCCAATTCTTCCATTAGTTTGATAGTCTTTAAGGTGGCCAGAGGTCTAGTCCCAGCAAGATCCTCTGGGGCACCCACTCAGTAGCCCTCACTTTGGGGGAGGAGAAGGTCACCCTGGGCAGAGGGTGTATGTGTGTCTCACAGTTCTTTACAATGGACAGGTGCTGAAAAGTACATAAATGAGAATATAACTAAAACTGTACACAGTATCATGAAAAACTGTCATTTCTTATTGGCTCAGACACTCACAAGTAAACAGAAAGCTATGCCCCTTTTTAGAAATTCAAGTCAACATCATAGTTGGTACCATTTGCCAAAGTCAGAATTAGTGTGCAAATTTACTTCTGTCGTGACTCAGTCACAGCCTTTTTTTAAGTTCTTAGAGGCTAGAAAAAAAATCATAATTTGTAATTGTAATTTGTTACTATATCTTAAAAACAATGGTTTAAATGTTGAACTTTGAAAATGCCTAGAAAAATCTTCCAATGTATTTATTTTTAATTTTACAGCAGTTTTTTGTTTGTTTTTGCCAGTAAGAAGTATAGACATTCTTTTTCTTCCTCTTCCTCCTGACATAAGGATGAGTCACCATTTGCTGCCTATCTGTCAGGCATGTCCCAGGGGCTGCCTCTGTCTGCTTGGTTTCAACCTCTTTTCCAAGGGATCATCTTCTCTGACTTTCATGCTTTCCCCAATTACTATGGGATTAATCTTCAAAACAGCAAATGGGGAACTGTTCTCTGCTTTGCTTAGAAAAGTCATCGCTATACTGGTGACAGCTCATAATAGGCTTACCTGATTTTAAAAAACAATGATGCCACACTAAGTTGCTAGTCTGCACCTGGACATCTGTTCCCCTATTGCTTAGAATGTTCCCATAAAATGTTTCAAGATGTTTTGAGTTCATTGCCCAGGTGAACCTCTAAATTCTAAATGTGAAGCAGCTTCTGACACACCACATTCTTATTGCTAAGGAAGAATTCTGGTTTCCAAATCCTCCTCACTGCTGGATGACTGGCTGGCCAGGAGACTCTTTCAGTAGCCAGTAAAGCTCCTGATAGTTCCCTCTGCTTTGTTGGGCAACTGAATGCCAGATTTGAGCATTTATTAAAGTTATGTTTAAACTGAAATCGTGGTTTAGATCAAACAGACTATTTTAGAAAACAACCATTAAGTTTATGTACAGATATGGCCTTTCCAGGCTGACTTACGGATGGAATACATAACTGTCATTTCATTTTGTTCACCATACTTATTTTTCCCATTTTCTTACTCCAGAGTCCAAAAACAGTGTTTTTCATAATGTTTTACCTAGAGGTAAATGTCTGAGTAGTTTAGAAGCATGAAATAGATTGTAATTAAAATACATATTATATATTTCATACTTCAGATATAGGTGTTACCTTTACTGAAATTTGCATCATGGTTTATTTGAAATGTATGTCTCCATTTTTGACTCAGATATCAAAATAATTTTCATTTCTTAAATGTTGAAGACTTCAACCTGTTTACTATTCTCTTCTTTTTTCCCCCTCAGGAAAATGCCTTGGTTCCCAAGACTATCTTGAACTGGCTAACAGATTTCCTCAGCAGGCCTGGGAAGAAGCTCGACAGTTTTTCTTAAAAAGAGAGAAAAAATAAAGGTTTTGGTTGGTTGTGTGTTTAAGTACCCTCATTAATATTTTAAATTGTTCAAAACACTGTAACTACTCCTTAAGAAGTTCATTTTCACATGTTTATACTCTGTAGATATGGTATATACTTTACACTATTTATAAAGACTGTAGATACTTTAATGTTCTTTCTAATTCTGTGAGTTTATTTCATTTATGCACAATAGTTTGGAGTTTGGTAACTTACATCCTATGATAATATATACTTTGCATTTGTAATATGGGTGAAATTAGACAAAAAGTTAGCAAGTCTGTTTTGTTCTTGTAATAAAATAACTTATTCTATTTGCAGTGGTGACTTTTCTTGTGAAGGCAATGCAGATTTGAAAGAAAAACTGATTCCAACTCCAGAAGTATCTTAAAGACTTACTAAAAGTTAACCTGCTTTAAATTTCCCTTATTAGGTTTGAGTAGAAGATGTTTGTAACAGTTTCACATTCTAATTACATAATATGTTCTAGCAGCTATGTTCTAGCAGCTCTCTGAAATTAACTTAGAGCATTGTATTCATTTGTCTGCCTAAACTTTCCCAGCGGCCACTACTGAGAGTCTCCTATAGAAATAGGATTGCTGAACTGAAATTCTCCAAAATAAAAATGAGGGATCCAAAAAAGATCAAACATAGTGAACCACCCTAAAGTATTTTCTCAAATAACTGCAATGAAGCCGAAGTAAAAATAAAACATGGTCACAAAGGTCCTGAATAGACGTTTTTACTCCTGTGCAAGGCTCACAGCTGAACGGGAGGAACGTCTGCCAGGAGATGTTGACCTTTTCATATCTTGTTCTCATCGTTTCTCCACCTTAAGCCGACGGTCAGTGCTAAGCCGTTCACTGAGTGACACTGGGAATTATTTCTGTCAGATAAGGATCAAACATTAACAAGAAAGAAGATCTGATGGGGGGGGGGGTGGTATTATACTATAAGATTCAAGACTGGGGGCGGAGGGGACGGAAAATACAGGAGTTACACCGGATTGTTGAAAGCAAACTTACCTCCTGTTCAGGACACTTATTTTTGGGTCCTCCCAAGGCTGTCGAGTTTTGTATATGCTGTTTTTACTTCTTCGCAAATAGAAAATAAAGAGGTCCAATTTCAAACAAAAGCGAAAGAAAGCAAACGCAATCCCTGTGCGCTCTGTGCTCCTGCCGCCCCGTCCCCGGGGTCTTCTGCGCGCTCGGGCTGCGGGGCCGAAGCCCGGCGGGGCTCGGGGCTCGGGGCTCGGGGCGGGGGAAACCCCTCCCGCTTCAGCGGAGCCCGCTCCCAGGGCTTGGCGAAGACTCGGCCCGGGGCGCCAGACCCAGGGTATAGGGCCCTCGCCGCGGCGCGCGCAGAAGCACCTTGAGCCGCGGCCGGGCGGAGCGGCGCACACCGGGTCGAGGAGGCTCGGCCCTGGCGCCCCGCACCTCCCCTCCTGCCGGCGGCCCAGGGCTCCTCCGTGGCCAGAGAACCTGGGAGCCAGGTACCGGCGACCGGCTTCTTGCGCGACCCGCCGCCGCCCGGGGCGCCCCATCCAGAGGTGTTCCCAAATTCCGCTTGCTCCCGCACCTTGGGGAGTGGATGCAGAATCCTTGTAGCTGAGATGAATAATCAAATATTTGTAAGACTTCCTGCAAGACGCTTCACAATAGAAATATACTTATCTGGTCGGAAATTTGCCAAAAAGCCATAAATAATGGAGACAGCTGTGATTAACCTTCCAGAAACCGTACCAGAATTCGCAATTAAACATTTAATTGAATGGTCTCATTTGGCCCGCCCTCCCCCCGTCCGGGAGAGGAGGAGGTTTGATTGAGACAAACCCCGATTCCACCCGGCTGGGGAGCCTGCGAGGATCGGGCCCGGGGACTCCTCGGGGGGTGACTCCCGACCCGCGCGGTTTCTGGAGGTCTCAAGTTCCCTACTTTATTATTGCGCGTTCCGCCGGGCCAGAGTGATTGAAGCTCTAACTCCCCTGGGTTTTACGACTTCTAAACTCTCCCGGGATGGGGAAAGCACAGCGCGCAGGTGAGCGCAGGCACATCTTGCTCCAATCTACGGGGACGAGTGCCACCCACTGGCGTTCTCCTGGGGGCGGGGGCCAGGTCCCCGGTCCCCCGAGGCTCAGGGGCCACAGGTGGACCCGCTGGGCAGAAGCGAACAGCCTCGGCTGGGTCCAGCCTGTAAAGCTGACGATGCGACCGGGCCCAGCCGGAGCGTAGGTAACCTTTGCTCCCGGGCTTTAAGGCCCAGAATTGGAGCCAAAACGGAAGAGGCAGCGGCGACATTTGAACGCCCAACGCCGTTGCCCAACTGAACTTCCCGCTCTCGGCGGCAGCTCGCTGGCCCGGAGCTCTACGCCGCTCGTCCTTCCCGAAGCCCAGCACGATCTCCGGGCCACGGCTTCCCCCGAGTTCTGGCACCTCTCCCTCGCTCCAGGCAGTCGGGGGGGAGCCTCGAACCCTGAACCTAGGTCCGGAACTCGCCTCCTCTACCATTTTTCCTTCCTTCCTTCTCCAGGAAAGAAGCCACCTGGGCCAGTTCTTCCAGAGCTCCTTGCCAAGCTTTCTGAATTCTTGGGTCTCAATACTCTGGGAAGGGATTACTCTTCACTACCCCTCTTCTTCCATTTCCGTCTCCCTGCTCCCACACCCGGAACCCAGAGGTCTCCCGCCTTCCACATGACACCCCCGCCTTAAAGATCCTGTTTCCCACTGAGGAAACTCTCTGCCTTTCTGAACTCCTGCTCCTCCGCTCACCCCCTGACCCACTCTCTCACCAGCCCTTGACCTTATCGACCGGGCGGTGCCCCGATCCAAAAGATGGACTCACCTAGCACTCTAGCCTTTCCGGCGTGATTTCTGCGAGGCGCCAAACTTGCTTTATAAATTGAACCACTCCCCCACAGCACTCCACATCTGGTTCCCAATGGAGTATTTCTCTGTGCCCTTTTTCGCTCCTATTACTGCTCTCAGCCTGACTCCATTTATCAGCATCTTCCTTGCACAGTCTCCATCAACAAGGTGCTAGCCTGTAATTGGTCACACAATCCTCCTTATTGCACCGAATGCCAGTATCTTGAGGAAAGTTTACCTTTACATCAATCAGACCCATATTTAAAAGCCTCTAATCTTCCCTACATCAGCTTAATAAACTCTGAATTTCCTGCTTTTATCACAAGTCCATTGGGACTCCTCTGCAAATAGTTTATTATTCATTCATTGTTTCCCATCTCTAGCATGCTGCTAATTCAAGCAAATTCCCTTGCTCTCTTTGGTGAATACTTGTATGGGAAAACACAGCTAACTAAATGTGTGGCAACTTAGGCCCTCCCCCAGACAGCAGTGGCAGAATCTCACATTTTTTAAGAGAACAATCTTAGACAATGTCTTGCTTAAACCTAGTCTTTGCAGCTCTGACAAGACTAAGCTTTAAAGCTATTTCATATTCAAAACTGAAAGGCTGATTTCTGTTACAAAACCCATTAAAAATTAAAGTTCGTTGGGAATACTGCCACAGGGACTCTGAATTTCCCAGAACTGTGTAGCCTTTCAATATGTATTAAATTTTGTGGTAGAGCAGCCATAAACTTCTCCATCTCTGAGAATCTCTTTCCTGCTTCAATTACATAGAGCTACCCAAATTATTAGATAAATCTGCTGAGAAAATCTTATTCTAAGGTGAATCTACTTAAATAACTAACTCCCATTTTCCACCCTATGGCCTCTTTTATTGAACTGACTTTTTTACTACACAATTGGGTATCTCACTTTAAAAGTTCAGTAAGCATAAAATACACTTGTAATTGTTACAGGTAATTTAATTTACAAGGAAATCCCTACTGTATTACAGGAGATGTTTAAAGATGATCTGGGAGCCAGTAAAATTGATATTTATTAATGTAACTAACCAATCGTAGATCTGACACCTCACCAGGGACCATCATAATAAGGCTTTAGAGTCAAACTTGCCTCTTGGAAACCCACACGGAAAACGATGTGCCCCTTTGGGTAACTAGCAACAAACTACAAAAGAGCTTCTGATGTTTTATACAGCAGTACACACAGATACGGGGCTTCCCAGGTGTCTTAGTGGTAAAGAATCTGCCTGCCAATGCAGGAGACTCGGGTTCGATCCCTGGGTCTGAAAGATCCCCTGGAGAAGGAAATGGTGACCCACACAGTATTCTTGCCTGGAGAATCCCATGGAGAGAGGAGCCTGGTGTGCTATATAGTCCATGGGGTCAAAGAGTCATATGCAACTTAGCGACTAAACAACATCAACACATAGCTACAGGTATCCTAAATACACAATAACCACTTTGATCAGAATAATTTCCCAATATTAAAAAATAGACACACTCATATAAATATCCAAAAAGGAATCAGATTTTTGATCTATGGTTGGCCAGGGAAGAAGTAACTGTAATTAGATAGGCAGATGTTTCCATCTGTAGCATTAAAATACTGCAATCTGTCAAAAGCAAAAATTTAAAGCTAATTAACAACCATAATGAAAATTTTCAAATTCAAGAACCTGTTATTTCCTTTTTAAAAAGGCAAAACCCAATATTCTGAATCAATCAAAAGTTTTCAAAAGTAAGACTTTTGGAAGTTTAGCCCCCTATCCAGTGGCCAACCAAAAGGTAAAAGGAAATATCTGTATTTCTGCTTGGGAGGGAAGAATCTAAGTTAAGGGAACAAACCCTCAAAGACTCTAACCCTGATTATTAAAACCGTTTCTGGGCACTTGAGAGGTAAAGCTGGTCCTCATTAACCCTAAATATCTCTTCCTTTATCTCTAAGTTTGCAGCACCATTTCCTAAATCCTGATGCAGGAGAATAGTCTCTTTAACGTCTGTGCTAGCATCACCTTGACTTTCAGGAAGTAAAATATAAATGTGGCCCAATCTTCCAACCTCCTCCCATTTTCTTTCAGTAATTGCCAGCTTTGCTGCCAGCCTCCCGTTTCTAATGGGGGGGGGGGGTGAGAAATTAGCTTTCAGAATTCAGCCATCAACTCAGCTGAAATACCTACAGTGGCCTCTGGCCATCCAAGCAGCCCGTGGCTTTTTAATAGAAGGCATCGACTTCTCTATCCAACGACCAAAGATGCCCCCCTCCGACACATTTTTCCTTACCAGGCCCTACCTGAGCTAAGATGGAAACTTAGTAAGAGTGTTGCCCTCTTTCAAAACAATTCCTGGACAAAAGATATACCTTTGGGTTCTTTTAACTTGGTGGGACAAGGAAACAGAAACCCAATGCCAGAGATTCTTCAAGAGTAGTGGAATCACTGGTAGGCT